GGAGGACGGAGCCAATTTAAGTCATCCCCCCCGTGGCGTAGACGCGTTTTAACCGACTCTACGAGCCTTTCCTTTAATATATGGCTGCTACGTTTGACCTCGGGTTAGAGGTACTGCTGACAAAGGTTGACCGCTGCGAGCGGTTTGGAGTAAAACATTATCTTTCCTCTTCAACGTAATTTAAGAAGCTTGTTTTTTTTGCTCAGTTGTTTCTTGTGGCTGCTGTCTCCCCACACAAGCTCACGACCGACGCGCAGGAACCTCCAAAATTTCTCCGCGATTCGTAGGGCGCTTGGTCCACGCGTGATGATAACTTCTGACAGCACCTCGGCGCGCTTACGCGCAGCTGACGGCTCGCTCGCTCCGCAGCCGGATGCAGAGCGCGCCGGGGGCCTCGGCGCCAATAATTCAAGATCGAAAAGTGCACTTTTGCACGTTTAACGGCGAATCCCTGAGTCCAGGGCCGAGACCTGAAAAACGAAACGTCTCGACGGCCCGCCCGGAGTTACCTGAGCTACTGCGCATCACCCCAGGGGGGCCGAAGCCCACGGGCGTTGCAGGGGCTGAGGGCTTGGGGGGGGGAAATCCCAAACGAAAACGAGAGGGTTGAGGGGAACCGAGCGGAGGCGGCAGCGCGAGGTGCTCGGAAAGCGCCTCTCGTCGCTGCCCGGGTGTCAGCGGCCGCCCTTTCCTACCGCGTCAGGCGCGGGCAGCCTCGTCTTAATTTCAGTTGTTAAAAAATATTTATCCCGATACAAAAATAAACCCAAAGCAAATTACAAGTTGTCAGGGTTAAAATCTACTTGTGTTTGTGTGGGGGAGGATAAGAGAACAGCGCAGACATGAATCATTCTCAGTAATTTGAGTGTTTCCATGACATCAATGGGCACCCGTCCAGCACTCTGTCGAAGCCTGCGAGGTACCAAAGCGGCGCAGCAGCCAGCGGGAGACGGACCTTTTTTTTTTTTTTTTTTCTCTTTTTTTTTTTTTTTTTTTTTTAGTTTTTTCTTCTTTTAAAAATTTTTTCTCCCCT